GGCTGCAGGCCGGGGGCGGGGGCGCAGAGCAACGGCTGGCCAAGTGCCAGGGCACTCGTCCCCAGGGACTCGGGTGGGGAATACGTGGCTGTCTCTCAAGGAGGGCAGGAACTGCAATCCAGCTACCAAGTGCCCAAAGGAACCCAAAAAGAGGGGCTCTAAGGCCTGTACCCTGAAGTACAGGGAGGCCGTGTGCCCAAAAGTATTAGAGAGGGGGCCTAATGCTCCCCGAGATCAAAAAGCCTGGAAATCCATCCCCCTAGGTATGGAGGTGGGAGGAGAAGGCTACGAGGACGCACCTCGCCCCTTTTCCAGCACTGGGAAGAAAATAAAATACGCTGCAGCGATTTTAACAACAAAAAGAAAATAACAAACGCTTTCGCTCCCAGGCGCTCCTCTCTCTCGCTCTCCACACACTGACAAGGGAAAAAGTGTTCCCAGGCTGGAAAGGAGCTCGATGCTGCAAACTGCTTGACCTCGAACCTTACCCTGAAAATCCTCCTCCGCTCCCGGGGGGCGAGAAGGCTGAGACCGGTGCCCTCGTTTCAGGGCCCGGCCCGCCTGGGGAGTCAGGCTGCCCACGGTGGGCAAAAGGGAGAGGCCCTAGCCCTGCTTACAGGGGGGGTCGTCAGGCCTGGCAAAGGACAGAGCTGTCCACAAAGGCACATAGAAACCTGAACCCTGCTTACAGGGCGGTCCAGAGCTCTGCACAATTTAGGTCTGCACCAGGGGCACGGGAGTCGCACCCTCGTTACAGGGCACGGTCCATCTGACTAGTCAGACTGCCCACGGGGCGCAAAGGAGAAGGGCCAAGAGCCCTGCTTACAGGCAGGGCCGTCAGCCAGCCAAAAGACAGCTGTCCCCAAAGGCACATCGAGACCTGGACCCTGCTTACAGGGTGGTCCAGAGCTCTGCACAATCTAGGCCTGCACCAGGGGCACGGGAGTCGCACCCTCGTTACAGGGCACGGTCCATCTGACTAGTCAGACTGCCCACGGGGCGCAAAGGAGAAGGGCCAAGAGCCCTGCTTACAGGCAGGGCCGTCAGCCCGCCAAAAGACAGCTGTCCCCAAAGGCACATTGAGACCTGGACCCTGCTTACAGGGTAGTCCACAGCTCTGCACAATCTAGCCCTGCACCAAGGGACGTGGGACTCGCACCCTCCTTACAGGGTGGCCCAGCTGTCTGGATGTGGAGTGCCAGGCACAGATGCATGAAAAAGGACCGGTGCCTGGACACAGGGATTGGAGAGGAGGCCACAGGCTTCAACGCAGACCACGGGAAGGTCATCAAGCTCTGGGGTCTAAAGAGTTGGCTGTCACCCCATGAGACTCAGCTCCGGTCTGCAAGGCCGCCCTGCGGCACAGCGCTGCAGACTGCTCCGGCTGTCTACGCCACTGGAAGGAGGCTACGTCCACCCTGCTTACAGGGGCTCCTCTCTGACTGGCTGGGAACAGCAGTGGACTTTGACTCCCAATTACAGGACGTCCAATGCTAGGAACATTCAAATTGCCTGTCATTCTTACACGGTAAGACGCACCATGCACCCTGCTTACAGGAGGCTGCGCCCCTGGCAGTCATGTCTGGCAGCTGGCCCGGGCCCCGTTTACAGGGTGGCCCCGCTGCACAAGACCACCGACTAGATCCACACCCTTTACAAACGAGGTGGCGGTGACACACGCCTTGCTTACAGGGTTGTCCACTTCCACCCAACTGCCGCAGAAGCGCAACAGCATCAAACGCACAAGCTCGTTACTGCGTTACAGAGAGCTCATGCAGCCAAAAGTTGGCTAATACATGACTGATACTTAAAGGCAGGGAGATCACTCTGTCCAGAGTCCTTTTCCTTCGCATCCCATTTTCCTGGCTTTTCGCCCTGGTGTGGTTCGCCCGCTGCTTGTCCGTCTGGCAGCTGCAAAAAGGAAAAAGAAAAGAAATAAGGACCCACCCCCGACAAAGAAACAGAGACACAGTCTGGGTGTAAGGCATGGGGCCAGAGACTGAGACAGGGACTTGTATTGTCTGTTCGTGCCTTTTCCCTGCCACCCGTTGATCCGTCTTCTTCTGTTCGACAGCGGGGCGAGCAGGAATCTCCTTGTTCAGCTCCCAAAGACTGGGTCAGCTGGAAATGGAAAGCCATGGGCCACAAGCCTACAGGCCCAACTCGTACCACATCACAAGATATGGCAGCACAAGGCACCTGCAATCCTACTTACAGGATGGTGCCACCCTGCAAACACCAGCCGCCATGGCACAAGGCTGACCAAACGCTGGTTGCTCAGGCGGGGCGGTGCGGTTCAAGGAAACAAGCACCCGCACATGAGCAGGACAATGGGCAGAAACTACAACTTCCTCGACAGCAAAGTCAAACCCCTCAAAGGACCAAAAAAACATTCCAAACACCTGCATTCAAGTTGGGGATGTAACCAAACCCCAGGTAACAGCAGTGAGTGGGGAAAGGAACGACTGCCTGCTTGCGGCTGCCAGACCGAACCCAAGTGACAGCAAGCTCACAACGCCCAGTGTCCTCGAGCTTGCTGCCTTGTAAAAACAAAGCGGACGAGACATGCCTCTGGTTTACAAGATCCTCAGTACTCCACCTAAAACATATCCGTGTATGACAACATGAGGAGCTAAGACACGAATCCTGCTCATAAGAAGGTGCCAACAAACCAGACTTCCAAGCCCCCCGATCCCAAGGTCTACGGCTTGGCAAAGGGACTAAAAATAAAAAAAGGGGCCGCATCGAACCTCCCTTACCTTTGCATGGTTTTCTTCCCTCCTTGTCAGCCGACTCCTGCTTGTGCACCATCTTTCCAGCTGCTCCTATCAGGGCCTATAATAAACAGAGACAGACACGGCATTTAACCCACCATGTTGAAAAACAAGTCTATGGGTTGCTACTTCTCTCCCACTTTAAGCCATACCTGAATCTGCTGCCAATCTGTGCTCTATCCGTGGAGATGGGGGAGGGCAGACACCTGCGGGCTCGGCTGGC